AAGAAGGTAAATAATGTTCTAGGTATTCTGGTTAAAGTAGAAGCATGGAATAGAAGACTACATGCATAACCATATTAATTTTCAAATTCAGCATTTTTTATGCATAACCTGTGGAGGCTTAAATGTTGTTCTTGAATATGCTTGGAGCCATCAAATAAGCATTTGCAGGGCAAAAAGACTATCTACAACTCTACAATTGCTTCGTATCTACAATAGAAAGAAAGGCAACACAAGTTTTAAAAATAAAACAAGAAGCTATCTGAATAGGGAAGCATTGGAATAGATTGTTCAAACAGAGAAGAAATAAAGAAAGAGACAAACTTAATCCAAGTGATTCTCCCCCATGAAACACACACCCAAGTCTCAACTGCCACCAACCAAAAATCCAAACATTAAAATTTAGAAAATCAACCCAAATAGTCACAACAAAGACTATTAGAAAAACCTTCAAACCCACTTAAGCATTCAACCTTCATACACATTAGTTTCTTAATTAAAAATAAATACAAAAGATCACAAGAAGATAAAAAAGTATTTCACAGGATTGAGGGTCATCCCTTAGACTTGTTTCAAAAGGTTCATCTTATCAAGTTTTATTAACAAATATATACCTTCCAAATCATATCCTTTACACCAATTACCGTAACACTTTCCTTATGAGTAAAAAATTTTCAAAAAGAAACAACTTCCACCATAGTTTCACAAGGGCCTCATTAGGATCTATTCGGATTTTTCCAAATAGATCACTTTCATATTTTTTCCAACCAATAAAAAAGTGAAATAACATATTACTGGCTTCCAGGACTATAGACAAATTCATAATTACAAAATATCCCTCAAGGTAACTTGGCAGTTTAAACTTCATAAATAAAAACAAATTGAAGACATAAAACCAATGCTCCGGAAAAAAAAAAGAGGAGAAAAAAGTACCTGTCCAGTGATAAGTTCCAGGAAGACAACCCCAAAATTGTAGACATCAGATTTCACCATCAATTGCCCACTCATAGCATACTCAGGAGCACGATAACCATAAGTTCCCATGACCCTTGTGGAGACATGCGACTTGTCTCCAGTAGGACCAAGTTTCGCCAGCCCAAAGTCTGAAAGCTTTGGAACAAACCCTTCATCCAGTAATATGTTAGATGACTTGAAATCCCTATAAATGACAGGAGGATTCGCTTTATCATGAAGATACTCCAAATCCTTGACCACACCTGCTGCTATCTTCATTCTTGAATTCCAATCTAATGGTTCTTTATCAGGTGGAAGATCTGCAAAAGAATTGTTAAAATGGTTTACAAGGATGTAACAAATTATGTTGTGCGATAGCTACCAGAACAGTACTCTAACATAAGCCCAACAAAGAAGTATTGAATGACATTAAAATTAGCACATTATCCAAAGTTGATGTTAAGCGATAGCTACCAGAATAGTATTCTAACGTAAACCCAACAAAGGAGTATTAAATGACATTGAAAATTAGCACATTATTCACCAGTTATAATTATGACAACTGTAATACAGTGGCAATAACAGCTGTACTTGTGGAGAAAAATCATAGGCACACACATTAATATTGAGAGCAAAATTTGTTCAAAATATAAGCACGCATATTAAGATTTGTTAAATGCAAAATTTATTCCCCCATTGTTAAACTGATATAAGAGTCTAACAACCCAAAATTCATTCAAAGATTAAGAAAGAGGAATGCTCTACTGAACACTTAACACAAACATAAATAAACTAAATGGCATGACTTTCATTTTGGCTTTCCACAAAAGAAGTCAAGTTATTAAACAACAATTACGAGAATCACAACAGTGAGTCATTTTCACATGCAAGGTGTGTAAAGTCATTTGGTGGTACAAATAAATTTCATATCTGTGCTCAACATTTTCAGCTTGTTGATAGCTATTGACAATGTTAATCCTCACTTACAACATTAGGTGGAGAAGTGATAAGGCTTAAAATCATTCAACTGAAACTCTCGTAGCCTGAATGTAAACACATGCAGGACAAAAGAGAGAGACAGAGTTTCAGGAATGCAATTAAAGCACAAAGCACAAGATCCCTTAACATTATGATCAGCTAAGGAACCCACTCTTACTAAGTGAAGAAATGCATTATGCCACTCTTCATCAACCTCAAACAACAGAATGTGGAGTAAAGGCATAACATGATACAATACCAATCACCACTATTCAAAACACCAAACCATCCATTCACTATACTATGCCACTTATATGCCCCCAACCCCACCTTTCCCCTTTTTCTAAAACGAACATTGACCCCCATACTTAGAATAAGCAAGTTTGAGCCTATGCTCTGTTATTGAGGCTTCATTAGTTCTGCATTTTATTTTTCCTTATAAACGGCATTATTGTAAAGAAAGAACAATCAACATAAAAGTTAGTTTAAGTAGAAAAAAGCCCAATTAACTTTCTAAACAAAACTTACACTGTCATCAAGCCTTCCTTAAGAAAGTGTACGCAGTTTGTAAATTTCAGTAAACATGTAAATTCAATTTAAAAATGGGATGGACTTCTTGCTGAACATGCAATAACTAAACCACAAAGAATTGACAAGATAATGAACAAGAATGCCTGAAATGATACCATGAAGATGATCTTCCAATGATCCCAAGGGCATGAACTCATAGACAAGTAGCCTCTGGTCCCCATCAGCACAGTAACCGATTAAATTTACAAGGTTAGAATGATATAAAAGACTAAACATAAGAGCCTGAACAAAAAATTCCCGGTTACCCTGAAGCCTATTTCTATCCAATTGCTTAACTGCAACAACCTGTCCATTCCAGTAATCCAATTAATTAGCAATAATAAACTTGAAAATCAGCCAGAAAAATTTCGGTAGAGCCATTTCTAATAAAATCAATATTGTCATTTTTTAAAAAAATCAGGAAAATTCAGAAAAAAATCCTATGAAATGAAATAATTAGGGAAAAAAGTAGAGAAAATCGCACATACCTCACTCTATTACTTTAGCTTGAAGATCTGGGGTTGAAGCTTTTCTTTGAGATCATCTCTAAGAGGGCCCAAAAAAGGAGGTCATATTGGTTAAAAATTAGAAAAAAAAAATAGAAACGAAATTAAAAAGGCAAATTTTTGAATAGAAATAAAATAGCTCAGATCCATCTGCACTCTTTTGCCGCAGGTACACAGGATCAACTGTTTTTATGCGAATAAAACAACACCAAAGATTGCTCCGACTAAGTGAAGAAAATGATCAGAGGAGCTCGTTATACAGAATGTATCATACAAGAAGGGCAAAAAAGAGATACATTCAGTGGATCAAACCTTCCTCCTTATGGACTGGATCAAAGGAGAGTCCACTGAGCCGGAATCATTGACCCCAGTTGCCGTAGGGACACAGAATTCCCAATGAGATACCACCAGAATAGCCGTCAATCCGATGCGAGAGGGAAGCTTCACATTTGAGAATATAAGAGCACTAAAATGGCGTCTTTCCAGTCTTGCTCGTAGAGATATGAAAGTACGACAGCAAATGAGACGGCACCTGCACAACCACAGAGCAAACCGTCCACGAGTATTTTCGGAAGTCATCTATGATCGTGCAGGAGAAAGGAAAAATAACAAAAATGAACGAAGAAGAAATGAGAGATGAAACGCTTTGGAGAGGAAGAAGGTGGCGGAGCTTCTGAGGAAAGAAAAGAAAGAGAGAAGTGTGGGGTCTCTATTCTTTACCCCAAACCCGAAACCCTAAACCCATTAATGCTCCGACTGAAAAGCTGAAAAAAAGGCCGAAGAGTAAGAGCAAAAGTAGTACAGAAATTATTTATTGCCGTTATTAGATGAGGACGACGGCTAGCTGGATTAGTGAAATGGGAGTGACCAAGTGCAGACTGCCTTTCTGACATAGAACAGTGCCGAACGTCATGGAAGAAGACAACAAAGCTAAACCACCAGCGAAAGAGGCGAACAACACAAAACGATGTCGTCAGGAACCACACACAACGCACGTGAGAGGACGACGAAAATCATCCAGGTCATCAGAGCTCTTCGGCTCTTATTCTACTTATGTTGAAAAAGATAACCTATCAAAATAATAATTATGATTTATATCAACAGAATGGAGAAATATTATATGCCCTGAAATTATCCAAATGTCCCTATTTGGTTTGCCATCCTAAATTACTTCACAGTTGTGATAGATTTGCTTCGAAACTGTACAAAAACTACCATTGCATGTTAAAGAAAAAGAACGGAAATTTTTATGAAATGTCCTGGTTACTTCACAACCATGACAACATTACTTCAATCTATAAGGAAAAGTACCGGAATGTGTCACAGAATAACCTATCAAAAGAAAAATTGCGCCAAGCCTTTTTTTTTTTTTAGTGAAAAAATATTTTTCTTTATGTTGGTTGCAAAATTTTTGTCCTACGCTATCAACATTTGACAGGTACTCAATAGCTTAGTTATAAACCCGTTCGGGACACTGGCCTAGAGAGGTGGCCGGGTCAACAAGTTACCCGTTCTACAGTAATTATATTACTCTCCCAATTGCGTTTCCTCACCAAAATTTTCTGAAGCATGACCAAAGATTATTTAGCTCCTTTCGAATCTCTCAATAAATTAGATAGGTCTATTCCCCTACCCTTTCCCTTAGTATAGGAAATCTTGCACTCAAAAAACAACAAAAAGATAAAAGTGGAAATAACATTGAAAAAAGAGATCAAAATCAACTTTGATTTTAATAACATGTCAAATATTTTGGAACATTTCAAAATAAAAAGTAGGACACTTTGAATAAGATCAAAATAATATAAAATATAAATTATGGTTCAAGCAGAAAATTTTTTTTTTTTTTAACTTTAGTGGGTAAACTCAATTTGAGTTTGTTTGGATAAGAGTTTATTTGAATAATTTATTTGAGATAATTATTGTAACACTTTTTGTGATGTGATGAATATAAAATAAAAAGATGATTGAAAAAATAAAAAAATGATTGAAATTTGTAAAGCAAATTATTTTATCTCAAATCATCTCGTCCCAAACACACCCTATTGAGTCACGGGATTATTCCCTATCCGGTCTAATTTTAGACCCTGCCCCCCTAATTGGTCAGTTCATCAGATTAACTGGTTTAACCACCGAGCCAGACGAGGTTTATAACACTGCTTTAGAGACATCTTTGGTTCCATACTTCCATCTCCCTTTGTAGAAAGCCCTAGTGACTACACGAGACTTCCCATTGACTCTGCAAATCACTGCTTTGATGTGGAGCAATTTTGGGACAAATGAAGTTACATCCAACCAGAAGTATACCATGAAAAAATCCAACAGAGAGCAATACCAAAAAGATACGCGTCTCCACGCAACAATTGTCCACTTAGAGTTCAAAAAGACGAAAATATTCCGCTCTCAAGTAAAACAACAAAAGCAGGTTACTCCAACTCAAGTGATCATCTTTGCCAGTATCAACATTGTGGGATAAATTATTAAAATAGCTCCAAAATGGACATTATGTCCTGCTCATTTTGCTTCTCGTCATAGCTTTCTTGGATGTTCTCGGAAAATCAGCACCACAAGTGGCATAAGATCTGAACTTGTCAAGAATCCTTCTCTCGCTGATGCGAAGCAACAATGAATAATAAAAATTGGGTTCTTTTAAGCTATCACAGTTGTTTAATGCTTCGATATCATCGTCTAGAGAACTTGAACCATATAAACTTTCACGAATATCAGCTAGTGATAATAAAGCAGCTCGAACACTTTCTGTCAGCAACAAATCCTTGTTCAACTCTGATTTCTTCCCAAAAGCTACAAAAAATTTCTCCGACAAAGACTGATTTGCAGGTCTGCAAATATTCCCCATGGATGAAACTAAGAGATCAAGTTCATTGTGACTTTCCTCTGGTAACAGCATTATGTAAAGCAAAACCAACAACTCAACTTGGGGTTCCCCTTCAAACGAAACTTCGAAATATTCAACATTCTGACTAACACATCCGCAGTAATCTAACCTTCTCCACAGCAACAGCCTCCTTCTATGGTAGCGACGAGAAAACAAAGAAGAACTCCACTGATCTACCAGTTCAAGATCTATGTTGAGAATGTCAAAAGGATTATCAGCCTCCGTGAAGCCATATCTATGCAGCAATGCAGCATTGCCTAAAGATCCGTACGTATTGAAGACCTGAAAGAGGTTAAACAATATATCTGTTTCAATTGCCTCTTTTATTCTTTTTCCTTATCTGTTTAAATTGCTTCTTTTATTCTTTTTTTTTTCAATTTCTTGTTCACCATTATTCTCAGAACAGCCTCTTTAAGACACAATTTTATTAGTTCAGAATGCAAAACCAGAAACTAATTTGGTTCAGAGATTGAAATATTAGATACATCATTTCTGAGTTACATCTAGAATACTTGGTAAAATTCTGAACTGAAGAGCGTTCAATAGGGTTTGTAGAGTATATTGCATAAACAAGCTTCTAACCTCCTCATTCCAGAAGGACAACATTTACATATAAAAATCAGAATCAGAGTTTCATAGCAATTTCAAAATCAATTCAGGATATGAACTTAGAGAAACCAATTCAGGATATGAACATATATATGCAGCTAAATCTTATTGAAATGAACCCACATGTATGCATAGATAGAACAAAATATAATTAAACAGAGTAAGAGACCAGGCTAAGAGTACTAACTTCATTTCCCGTCTTCACACCTTTAACCATTATCATCTCCAAAACTGTAAGATCATCTCCAGAAGTTGAAGAACAATCAAACTCACTCCCACCAGATGACCCATTTCTTTCATAAGAATTTTCGCTTAAAAGTGTATCATTCATGTGGCTTTCACATTCATCATTCCTTGGGTTAATGTCTGCATCCTGATCAGATTCAACTTCAGAAACTAGAGATGTGAAGTGCACATCTTCAGCACCAGTCTTGTGATTAAAGCTGGACATCAGAACAATCTGATTAGTCAAGAACTCAAGATCAATACAGCTTTATTTCATCTAACAAGAGAGAGAAACAGTCACAAACAAGGAATAAAACGAATAAAATAAGCCTATCAAAACATATGAATACAATCATTAATATTGTTCCAATGAAACTCAATTTACTATGTCATTTGATAAGGCAATCTGAGAGAGAACTTAACCTGGAAAATTGCCGCTATTGCCAAATATGCACATAGCTGCACTGCATCAAAAGACAATCACAAAGTTTCCTACTTTTTGTAGTTTTGTCACCATATGCTGTTCACTTCTCACATTCTACCCCCTTCACTTCTCCCTTTCATTCATCCAAATTTAAATATCCAAAACCTTACAGACAATGGTAACTAAAACAGTTTCAATCAATGAATAAGAGTTTTAACCTAATGGTCAAAACCAAATTTGAGAAGTCTTTATCAGTGTATCCCTATCCTAATTTCCGAAAATTGCCTAATACAAACCTGGACACATCTGTTGCAGACAATTGTACCAAAGTCCATTTAAAATAGCTTTCAACAATGTATACAAACACGAGAAATGAACTGCTGCAAAGAAGACCAGAAGAACCAATAGGTGTAGTCCAAATTTTGCTAAATACATGCTCTGCATCATCATTAAAGAATTAATTCAAACCATTCGCTAACACCATGAGAAAGTAATAAGCCATGATGAGAGAAAATTATTGAAAATACTTGAACACTCAGCAGCGGTATTAAGCAAGTTGCACCAAATAGGGAAAGTCAAGATTGGTCAAAACCAATTGCAATTAAAATACTAGCAATACATAGCAAGATAGGAGAAGATGACAAAACTCAAAAGGAGAAAACTGCACAAATGGACCCTCAGATTATTTATCCTTTACTAGCACCCTGCATTCAAAGCGACACATTTGGTCCCTAACATATTCAAAATGCATAGTCCAAAATCCCATTTCTGACCACATTTTGGCTTGAAAAGCACACAGAAACGACAGGCTAATAAATTGAGGGCAAAGTATAGATTCTTTGTTGATTTTGTTTTGGACTTAAACTATGTGCCTGTGTGCATTTTCTGCTGAATTCAATAACCACACAGGCCACACCAAAAACAAAAAACAAAAAAAAAAAGGTCACAAATGGAGTTGAGTTTGATACAAACAGGTTGCATATTGAATTTGCTAGAAACCAAAATGCGTCATTTAGAATGTGATTGACCAAAAAAAAACAAAGGATATTTTGTGAATGTTATAGAGAACTTATATCTTCTAAAAGTGGAATCTTTCTAAACTTAGAATTCATTTTTAAACTCAATTTTGTTATCCACTCGAGATATGTTTATGCACTGACGCAAACACTGCACCTGAGCACCACAGATTCCCCAGATAGACTGCCAATACATGCTTCAAGCACAGAAATTTCCAAAATATCTACATAGCAATAAAGAGTCCAATGACTTCAATCTCCTGTCCCAGTTCGTCACGCTTACCAAAAATTGTATTTATGCTCACAAACAAGTCTCTCCTCTTGCTATTTTGCCATTTTCTTAGCCAAGCAACAAAGGATTTTGAGTTGTAAGCAAGTCAGACAACACCAGGCCACAACACACTACTGCTCTCAATACCTTGATTATTGATGGAGAGTTAGTACTCATTCAATCAAACAAGCATTCTTGATTTTTGTTTCTTAATTGAAGGTTTGCAACTGTGCAACTGTGCCCCTAAAGTGATTTACAAAGATATTACTTTAACTGATATAAACAGGAGAGATGGGGGTTTCAGCTAGTTACCAGAAACAAGGTTGGGTACCATCACGTTCCCCTGCAATTCCCCTGTTGCATGTATTGCAGCTCTAACAGTAAGAGTGTAAATAATAACCTTTATGGCATGTAGAAAACAATTCATAAGCCAAATGTATACAAATGTGCTGTCCTTTTGGAAAATTTTCATAAAATCTTGAAGCTGACGACAGATTGTTGGAAGAGACGAGGAGCAAATGAGCACATAAGAAAGTGCGAAAACCATGTGCCTATGTCACCACGTGTCACTAAGAGTAACAAGGAAATGGATAAACAGTTGCAGTTTCTTTTACCCCGTGTTAGTGATTTGTTTATTCACATCCCAGTGATCCCATAATTGCCACTTGCACCATTTACAAAATGACAAAAACAGTGGCAAGATAAAAACAATCTGCACTTCCGTCAAATACATTTTTCTACATCCTAGAGCTGAACATCACCAAAAGTTAGCAGCAGCTTTATTCAACTGGGACAGTAGCCATCCTTTGACCTTACTGTAAAGGAAAAGTTCATGCATACACAGTGGTACGTAGCTGTATATTTTACTTGTGCTTATATTTGTGTACAAGTACCTACATGCACATGAAGTGTCCAACCTACTATGAAATTTAAGTCAAAGCATTCAACAAAAATGCAGATTCAAATAAACACCATATCATAGACAGAACCAGAAAATTTCCTTTCAGGGAGGAAACTCTAATTCAACCAAAAGTTTAAGTACATCACCTAAAATATTTTTAACTTTTTGCAGGGGCAAAAGTTCTAAAGTTACAAGAAGTATTTTGCAAATTTTATTTTTCCAATAGAGACACCTGACCTTCAAAAATTCATGATACTCAATGTGTCAACTTATAGCCTTTTCACATCTTCAATTTGCAGGCAGCAGACACAAGATAGAAGGATGTTGGATGCAAACAAGGTCAAGATTTGGCAAAATGGAAAGAAGTCTCCTTAATTTCTCATACGAACCTGCATACATCCAAACCTCCCTACAAATCCCAGTCATGCCTATTAAGACCTGGGGTGCCATGGCAGAACCATGCTCAATGTTTGAAAACTCCCATTTGATAAGGAAGACCAATCTACTGTAAAACACAGGAAAGCTACTTTTAACATTGACTCCTGTCAGAAGCACCTATTTCAATTGCTAAACTTCCTTCAGTAAAGCTATAAAATGCTTCCTAAGGTAACATTTTGATTTTCTTTGATTGAAAACTAAATATTGTACCCACAACCAAAATGAGCAGCAGGCAACTTTATGCACCTTTCATGATACCAACTCAAAGCCATGACAGTGGTAGATTGTCTGATCAAAAAGATACGTACTTGAAATTTTTGCCAGGGTTCTCTGTGTAATGCAAAAGCTGTTCTAATTCTCCTTAGAGGGCATCTATGAAGGAAATTTATAATATTATATTCTCCACGTTCTTTATCTCCATGACGTAGCACAAATTTGACACTTGCGCATGCAACCTCATCATGCACCCAAGTCCACGTAAGATGGACGAAAGACTTGCTAACATTATAATCTCACTTCTTTGAATTGAACTTAATCAATAACTCCGGCAGTTTCTATCAACCAAGATTTAACTTCAAAAGCATCATAAAGAGGTATGGACCAACATTTATTCTGAAGGAACAACCTTTGACATGCCAAAAGGTATAATGAGTTTTCTCTATTGGCCATAATAAAATGTAAAGTACGTATTAACTAGGAAAGACATTCTAGCACGTATTTCATCAAGAAAAAGTAGCTAACCACAGCAAACAGCATAAATTATGCATAATGTGCTTTACAGATTTTCTTGATCTTGTAGGTAAATGGTTCCACAAACTTCATGCTTGAATTATATAGACCCCTAATCTCTACACAACAAAGTGAATTGTGTGTCAAGAAAACATTAAAAAATACAAGCATTCCATGCATGTCAACCTAAAAATCCTACATTATATCTAAGGAACAAGTTAAAAAAATAGCCGCTGAAATACACAACTTACAGGTCTGCCAAAGGAACCATTCCAGATCCATAGTAATCATCTATTTGAAATGAGCGAGAAGCAATGAGACTTCTTGCAGCAAAATATTGTTCGATGCCAAAAAACTGTGGGTTAAGCTCTAATGGAGCAGAAACCAGAAGTGTTTGAATGCACTCTTTCCAATCCTCATAGATGAGATCCTTGTCTTCTTTAACCATCTGCCTAGAAAGGTGACATAATGGTTATTCAAACAGATGCTGTGCGCTACATAAAAGATGTTCTAATATTTCATTTAATTTTGTCATTCTGATATTCTTTTTCAACCTTTTTTCTTCACAAGGGGGCCATGGACGTATTTTTTATGGCTAGTATTAACTTTTCTTTACCAAAAAAAATCAGGTGTTTCTGTAGACACTAAAAAATACTCAACACAAAGTAACGAGTCATTAACATTTATTTATAGAGCTAAGGGAGGCTACTCAATTCATCATGAGTTTAAAAAAAACTACTAAAGGATTACTAGCAAACAGGTTGATGGCTTCAGTTGAAAAGCCATGTTAGTGCCACAGAATGGTCCATAAGTATGTTGCATCTACCACACCAAGTTTATCAGTTGCTACTCCAACAACACAACTTCTGTACCAAATATGGCAAACAGCAGCTTACTTACACAACTAATAATATGAATGGATGTAGCAAGAAAAGAGAGAGAACAGGTAAGAAAGAATAATCCAAAAATTGCTATAGCTATATGGCTCACCTTAAGAAGTCCTTTGTAAAGCATAACGATCAAGGTGAACTTATTACTAGCATGAAGCTAGTTGTTTTAGGTTTAATTGCCATATTTTGCAATGATGTGTAGGAGTTCAAACAGTCATGTTTATGGAGGGGTAAGACATAAGTACAATGTTTGGGCACACAAACACCAAGTTCATTAAAACATTCGTCACCAGCATTTCAGGCTACTTGGTTTGGTATTATTTAACTGATGAAACTCTGTTCAGTTAGTCATTAAGTTCACCTTTATTCTTGACAAATGCAAACCAGATTCGTTAGCAGCAAGTTGACCTGGACTGCATCACCCTTCTGCTTATAACTTTACTGTCTCTTCCTAATTTAAAACGTCAAACCATTATCAATTAATAAGATTGTCAAAAAAAAAAAATTCTTAAAATACTCCAATAAACAATGCTTGAAATGCTGGAAGAAAATGGGAATTATTCAAAGTATCTCACAAGGATCGGCAGGCTAATCTGTGGAGGTCAATTTAGTTTACCCTATTCTGTAATGCAGCATTATATTCTCACAACTAGCCATTAAGATATGCCCTCTACTATTCCAAATTACAGCAACATAAACAATAATGGAAAGACAATCAGCAACAACCATGATCCAACCTTCTTCTCTTCTCCCAAAACCCAAAAACGAAAACATAAGAAGACAATATTCCCGTATCGGCCAGATGCATGACTTTTCCCAAGGCATATTAATGATTGGCTGCTTGCTGTAACCAACTCAGCATAGGCCGGGCCACTTGAGGGCTTCAGTACATCTCCTACAGGTAGGTGATTTCCCTTTTCCGAAACCAAAGGTTCAGAAAGTGAAAAAAGCATAGGTGCAGAGACTCAACAGAAGCTGTTCTAACAAATGGAGTTGGAAGACCAAGAAGACACAAAGGAATGATACATAGGGCACAGGCATTGATATGAGACAAAACAAGTCTCTGCAAAAATTGCACTAACATAATATATCAAGGGTTGAACCACCAGTGCCAACCATCAACCAAATTGGTTCCAGGGATAGAAGACAGTCTCAACTCTTTCCAGCCAATATTCCATATTCAGTGTTCAAATTTCCAAAACCCTTCCACTAAAAAGCTCACATCTCAGCAATCCATTGCGATTCTTCGTCATTTTTTCTTCTTTAATGCTTTTTTAGCTGTGAATCTTCTTTTTATACAGCTTCAGGCTATTGGTTTAATGAGTTGTAAAGTAAATAATTTGAAAGTCATTGGATTCACGACATTAATAGTCCTCTGCTCTCAATCCCCTCCCCCTTCCCTTCTCCCACCAATTTTCCCACAGCAAAGAGAAAGAGAAACGAAGTGCTTCTACTTGTTCACCCTTCCCATCCCTTTTCACTCTCTTCTCCTTCCCTCTTTTATTTACTTCTCCCGTCCCCTTGTTAATTATCAGGCCTAAAGCCAGCTGTTCTTTTGTCCCAACTCTCAGCCAGCCTTTGTGATTCACTTTGTATTTCTATTTTCTCTCTCAATTAAATCAATTTGTAAAATGGTTTTATCATGAGCATGCCTTTAACTCAACTTTCTCATAAACCTGCACTCAAATTATTGCTTACTTTTCCTCTATGTAGGGCATCATTGGCAAATTACATAATGAAGGTGAATTTAGGGTACTATAAATACTCCTGTACTAATATCTGAGGCAGCCTCTTATAAATTCATCCAAGAAGAAGGATTTTTATTCTTGGGCGACCTAATAACCTTTTTCCATAGTTCCTTATGCAGCTATGATTGTTATTTTTCCATTTTACTGTTTCTCTTAATTTGAAAAACTTGGTTGCATTAAAATTCTTGCTGCAATTAGAGTCCTGAAATTTTAAGTGTTGAAATTAACCCAAACTCATTAAGCATAGCTCTTATGCTACTAACTTGTTAGTGATTCATTTATGACTCAGTTCATTTGCCTGTTATGGAAGATTGCTATGGCATAAGTGGAAAACAGTGTTTCCATTTCAGCTTACGTTGCTTTGAACTGAAGCCCCAGATGGCCTCTGTGCTTTGAACTTAAACCTCATATAAACTCCATTTGCTCCAAAGACACGGTGAAATTATTCCATTAGCAAAAATATTCCTCAAAGATGACCAGAAACCTTTTTCTGCCATTAAGCCTCAATTTCTTTGAATTAAAACCTAAATTTGTATTTTCAATCAATCTAACCATCCTTAATTGTAGCAAAACAAGTGTTGTTCTGCTCCTAAAACTTCTAAAAGATATGTTCTGCAACTTATTTGTAAGTATATTAAGTGCTTTAAAGGTTCTTCTTGATGTCTAAACATATCAGAAGGACTTCACTAAGAAAAACCGAATAAAGGACTTAATTGATGGAAAATCAAACTTGAAGAGCTAAAGTCCTATACTGAATTACTGAAGGTATATAATGTGGATGCCCTAAACTTGGTTTTAACATTACAATATTGTGCACGATATCAACAACCAATTTTGATTGAATCTTCATGGAATTAGCAAACATCACATGTATAATGTTACAAGTATCAGACTAAACTAGCAATTTATTAGACATTGGCAAACAAGTACAAACATACAAGACAAATGGATTTCCTTTCAAGTACATAAATATACATGAATAACTAATCAAGCCCACCAAATGGCACTCATAGTATTAATGTTGAAGCACAAGTTTTAAAACGTTCCAAAATTGAACTACAACCCCATAATTCTGGGAATAGTACTGCTAATTTATAATCTCCACAGTTACTCCAAAGCATTGCCAGTATACTGATATACTACATTATTCATTTGCTAATGAGTTCATTAACTAATTGGCTTAAGCTTATGAAGTTCAACAAATAGTCATGGCCCTATTCAGCCTTTCGCATTTCAGGATAGAAAATTTTCTGGACAACATCTTATTACCATAGTAATAGAATAACACCACCTGTATCCTTCGTATTAATTTGACCAAGAAAGTTGAAAATTTTTTATAGAGAAAAAAGCTTCTAGACATTGAAGTGATGGCTCACCAAATTGCTTGATTTGTTTTAAGATGAACAACAAGGAAAGCAAGTTGCTGATGCATTTGTTACCTATAAGGGCTCAAGGTGAAGTGCAAGCAATTTAAAGGTGCATCCATTGTGACTCAGGGCAAGTAATTCATACAATAATAAAGTACCGGATCTGGTTCTGTCCACAAAAATTAAAGCTGCAGCATATGCACGCATACTTAACAGGGGTGGATTAGATTTTAGATACCGCCTGTGTGGAACAGCCACTTAGTTTTAATTGATTACACTTAAATATGCTTGATTTTTCCACTTTCACCCAACATAAATATGTAAAATAGTCTTGAGGCCTCCTGTTGCCAGACAATTATGAAATATTTATTGGCAGACTACAATAATAATTCTATGACATGTACAATAAACAAATAGAAAATGTGGCTCCTCCAGAGTCACATCCTTACCAGCAGAAAAAAGCATCTACCACACTTCCCTATGGGGTGATACTATTCTTGTTGTCAAACCCTTTTTTTTAGTTAGAATGGTCTTATACTGCCATTGGACAACTATCTGGCAAATCAACAACTGAAGCCTTCTTTTATGACATCTCTAGTTTTACATGGTTTACCAGAGAACACTCCTTTGTATACGTCAGGAGTCCATTGATGAGAAGGGGCCGGGGAAAGCTTGAACCCAATTCCTACCTCTCTATCTATCTCTAAGATGTTTGGATTTTTCAAAACTCCATGGACATGCAGAAGAGAAATACTATCCCCACTCGGACCAAGACAGAACTTTTACTTGTTCATATAACAATTAAGGTGAAGCAGGGTCAAGAACGCCGAATCTCTTTATGATAAACAGATATATTTTGTAAGTTCGTTATTACGGGTAGTTCCTACAAAGGATCGGACTAATGACGTATACAATACTTGAATTCTCGATGTAGATGCTACATAGTTGGTTCTCATCCTTCAGAGACTACGAGTGTAATAGGAGCATCCGTCGACAAAAGGATCACCCTAAGATGATCATCTCATGGCTATTGAGAACGAAGTCCAGACAACACAGTCAGGACACAGAGAGAGAGAGAGAGAGAGAGAATCTTTAATAAGAGCTTTCACTTCTGAGGCACTAAGCTGCAGACTCTCTTTCCAGTACACACAGCTAGGCAGCCAAAATGGTAGACTCAACAAGTTATTAGAATCTTATTACAAGTGTTTGTGCTTTGACCAAATCCAGAAATAGAAGCAAAGGCCATCCACCATAGCGATGATACAATGTGATTTATCAAACTTCTCAAAAGATCTCATTGTGTGGAACAGAATATACATACATTCCATCTAAACTAACCATTTCACTTACAGGCTGAATGCTACCGAAGCTATCTCGGATTGGTTCTTAAGGAAGGCCAAGAGTTAAGTATTGTTGAAAACTCGACTTTTTATGGGACTTAGTAATATTTTGATGCTAAAAAGTTTTACATTAGTGGTCAGTCTTGTGCTTTTTCCACAATAAGAAATTAGTCACAAGATCATTTCTCAAGCATATTATCTTCATCTCCTTTCGTAAAACAACATTAGCTGTATTCTACACCTATAGACCTCAGGTTAAGGTTAGATGTTGGAGTACACAATTGGTCGTGGACATCAACATGTACAATGTGCACATAAAGTTATAAAGACATAGACATGAACAGGAATACAATGTCAAATTGCCATTATCATCATTTGCACATCTGGTTAATTCACATTAATACGCTGCACCAATAACCAAACCTGCTAGATATTAATTGAGGGTCACACATTTTGACAGTAATTTTTTAAGGTCAAATCATTTGCTTACAACATAAAATGAGCTAAAAAATCAGAAATCATACATATTTATCCAAATAACTCAACAGTAACTTCTTAATTTAAGCCAAGTAAAACATTTTTGCTGGAGCAAATTTAAAAAGGTGAGCATTATTACCAGATTTTTGTATCAAATGGGAAAAAAATACTCACCTTATGGAGCTCAGTTCCGACGAGGAGAGAATCGATTTCGTGATCGGACCAGAGGAGGGGAATGGGCTCGCTGAAAGGCATCAATTGAAGATAAACGAACCAATTGGAGAGAGGTCCAAGGCTCCGCTCGTACATGACGGCGACGGCGAGGCCTAAGAAGCCGTCGAGGCCGGCGGCTTCGATCACGGGACGAGCACGTGAGGTCTTGATAGTGAGGCAGCTCCCTTTAGGGATCCTCGCCACTATATCGCCTTCCTGCAGGTCGCATAAAGCCCTAACGGAGACGGAGAAAGAGGAAGACGGAGATGGAGATGGAGATGAAGCGTAATTTGTGAGCACGAGGTCTAAAGCGTCGCTGCAGTCTATGCCTTGCGATTTCATCCACCTCTTGAATGCCCGCATTTTCCTGGTAGCCATAGCAATTGGAGTTAGCAGCAAGAAAGAAGCCGCCCAACTCTGCAATTGAAATCATGGTTCATGGTTCAAAGTTGCGGGCTGCGATTGCGACCCGAACCGTTTTGCATCGATTTCAGTATATTCGTCGTGATCTCGATGTGACAAAAATTTTAATATATTTAATATTATAAAAATTGTAAATAATATTAAAAAATATACTAAATGAAAATAATAAAAAATTAGTAAAACAAAATCTGTAAAATGTACTATTTTTATACATATTAAACATAATAAGTATCTTTAATCATTTAATATAATGACATCACAAATAAAATCAAGATAACACAGAACACAATTTTAAAACTAATAATTGCAAAAGTAATATTAACCATTAACAATAAAGAATAAAAATTTATTTATAACATAAAGTTGGAATAACTTCGCTTGAGAATGTCTAGAGAGATAGGGTTCGATTCTCTTGAAGAGAACGAAGCCACGAGTGGGGCCGAGACGTCCTTGAATGTATCAGCAACCAAGATAGTTGCAAATGGATTTCTGCAAACATTTTAAATAAGTTTGAACCCAAGAAAAGAATTAAGTATCAAATCAAGATGGTAATTGCATATGTTATAAAGATGTTAATTTTGTACACTGTATTTTTTATATAATCCAAAACTTTAACACCGTCTTTTGGACTGATTGCTGATGTTGGCAGTAGGAAATTGAAGGCAACATCGGATGATTCATAATCTGTTAATATGGCACCCACACCATCAGCATGCAGAATTTCAGAACCATCAACGAAGGCACTACAGAAGACAATCTTTCCTTTCACCTTCTCACCATTCACGGCAACAGGTAAGCAATAGCTTCCATACAATGGACCATAACCACCAATGTAGTTGACTACATCTCCTCCCTAGATTAAGGATATGTATATGTCCCATTACCCGTGATGTTGTAGTTATTAATGGCAAGTCCCTTCATATTTTGTTCAGTAGAATTAAAAAAGAAAATCCAAATTTCCCTAGTCACAACCATGGTTTGTGCAACCTTTTGTTGTTTTGCCTCAACTTGCATATGCACGCACAGATAATAACCACACTTTGCTTATTGTCTATTATTTGAATAACATGTTTTCTGATGTTTCTTTTGGGTTCTCGGACTTGTTTTTGTGAAACGATTCAAACCAAGAATCAAGATCACACAGCAATTTCATCCTTTGTTTTCTCTTGTTTTTTTTTTTGTTGTTTTTTGATTGGATTCGAGTTGACTCGAGGTAATTCGACCGTTTTTATCCTTATCGGTGACGTCTCAAAGTTATCGTGTCACGGTATTGGAACGGGGAGCCCCATTCCAGTGACGACTCAGTCGAGTCGTCTCGATCTCAGCCAAGTCTTTGAACCACGATTCAAATGTGTTTTTTGGCAATGGTAGTAGGTTTTTATCAATGTGGAAACTCAGACCGGTCCAACCAGTTCAATCGAGTAGGTCAACGGTTCATTTATTATTATTTTGTTATTCTATGAAATACTTGAAACTTATTCGAAAGATAATTCTATTATGCATTGCACACCAAAAACAAAATAGTGCAAAAAGTTGGAAGTTCTTCAAATTTTGTCAAAAAAAGACAAGACTTATAAGTTTAAATCTCATGCATCCAAATAAAATAACTAAACTGATATTTTGAAGACCAAGTTGATATGAGAAAACTGAGAACAAGAAAAAAGGCAAATCATCGTCAACACATTGAGTTTGTTTGGATAAGAGTTTATTTGGATGATTTATTTGAGATATTTACTGTAGCACTTTTTATGATGTGATGTATGTGAAATAAAAAGGTGGTTGAGAAGATAAAAAGATGATTGGGATTTGTGAGGCAAAATTTTTTTTTCCAAATTCTCTTTGTCCAAACAAACTCATTGTCATCCTCATCTTCAAAAAAATGAGAAATAGAATTTTACAAATAAAAGGAAGAAATAGATTTTGGAAAATTAGAACATTAGATCCATAAGCAAATAAAGGGAGAAGGCAAAAAAAAGAAAATAATCATGAAAACAATAATTCGAGAAATCAAGGAAGTAAAGGTGCCTTTCTTCAAAAACATAAGTAATAGAGGAAGAAATAGATTTCGGTGAAAGAAAAATTTAAGATCTATAAGCAAAATAAAAAAAAAGAAAGGAGGAAAAGAAAATAGTCATGAAAAACTGTAATTGCAAGAAATCAAGGAAGTAAAAGTGCCTTTATTGAAGCCAAATTAGAAAAATAGAAAGAAAGAGCAAAACTGATCCGCATGACAAAAAGAAAAAGGAAGAAGATGATGATAATAACAGTAGTAGGTTGGTTGAATAGCAAGTTTGGAGGCATGTAGCAAACTTTTTTTTTTTTTGCTTTAGAAATTTTTTAGTGTTAGGGGTGAGCATATTAAATCATTAGAGACAACTTTTGTTCAAGGGTCATGGTCAACAAAGTCCTAAAGTCCTAAAGTTGTAGTTAGTTTACTAAATTATGTTTGGAAGGAGCATTAAAGATTGAAAAAAGAAAAAGGCCAGAAGTGGACCGCGTTGTGAAGAAAATTAAGACTCGGACGTTTTGGTCTAATCGGTTTTGTGGTTTTAACAAGTCTTGACCAACTACAAAAATGAAAAAACTCTTTCTCTCACTATGAGAGCAATTTCTCTCTGTCCTAGAGAGAGAAAATCCCCCACTGTGGGTGTCCACACTTTCTCGGAAAACACCAAATTGAACTACTAGTTTAGGCGCCAATTTTAAAACTTTCCATTTAAGGAAACTTACCGATCTCATCCATCTTCTCCGAAATAGTGTTGGAATTTCTAATGATAGTAGCCACACTATTTTCTATTTCCCAGTTCCTTTTGAATATGATGTGATTGCTTTCATTTCTCATCACAATTTTCATTTCTTCGTTTTGTGTTAGTTTGAGTTTTGCTACTTCTAATCTTGTTCTTAGGTTTGTTTGGTTTCAGGTGTATTTGGAGTTGGGAACTTGCCTGGAGGCATTACAAGGACTTGGATTAGTTCCGGATCTATGCTGGGCTGTTAAGCTTACTGGAAATGGCAGTGTATGGTATGTGGGGAGGATAATGGAGAATATTAAAGAGGTATTAAGAAGGTTTAAACTCTCAGAAGAGGAAAGAGATGCAGTCTGTTTGGATGAAGAGGAAGTGGCAAAAGGTATTCAGGAATGCAAATTGAGCTTGATTGGTAAGGTTTGGGGAGAAAAGCAGGCAAATATTGGAGGAATTAAGAGTTTCGCGAACAGTATGTGGTCTCAAGTGAAGAATCTGAAGGTAATGTAGATTGGACATAATTTGTTCCAGTTCATTTTTTAGAATGAGAAAGATATAGAGGTAGTGATGAGCAGGAGGCCATGGATTTATGATGGTCAACCGTTAATTTTGTTGCGGCGGGAAGCTGGTATGGAGGAAGATGAAGAAGCTCTGAGTAAAACACTAATTTGGGTCTAGATCTGGAACATTCCCTTACATTGGGTCATGAAGGAAGCAAGAAGGAACATCGGCAGCATATTCTCAAATGTAAATGAGGTGATCATCTCGCAGAGTGGAGGGAAAGAAGGTAAACATCTAAAAATTTCGGCTGAAATTGATTTGTCTATTCCATTGCCTAGAGGGATCATGGTCAATAGTAATCGAGTTAAGAGTTGGATTGAATTTAAATATGAAAAATATCCAAATTTCTGTTTTGGTTATGGTCTGATTGGTCATAGCGAACGAAACTGCAGTAAAAAAGGAATGAACATAGGGGGGATCCTCATTATGGGAATTGGTTGAGAGCCAGTTACCCTCGAAGTCCTAATAGGAGAAATAGGAATGGAAATGGGACTAGGGGTGCTGAAAGAGAGAGATGCTACACTCAGCACAATAGGGATGGAAAGAGAGATGATGATAAGTTGCTATTAACCTATACAGAAGAATTTCATAAGGGAGAGGAACTAAAACATTCTTCTAAGGAGGAGTTGACTATGGATGCTGGGTTGATGGGTGGGAAGGAGAAGAGAGCACTTGAGGGGAGGGGGGACAGAAGGGGTTAAGGATGGGAAGGGAGAGGGGAGTCAAGGTGAAAAGGGATTAGGTAAGGCAGGAGGTAGGGACATCAGAGAGGATAAGAGGTGCAGGAAGGAAGGGAGATTGAGGGATCAATAGGATGGAGGAAGCATTGAGGAAACTGTGGAAGAAGCTGATGATCTGATATGGATTGATGGCGTCCAGGGTAAGGCTAATAAGGATAAGATGGCTAAGGAAATGACAGAAGGGAGGGAAGGTGAGATAATATCTGGAGAAAGTGAAGGAAAAGGGAAAGTGGGAAAGCAGAAGGGTAGGACTACAAGAAAGCAAATGGTAAGTAAGAAATGGAAAAGATTAGTGTTGGAGGTGAGCAGGAGAAAACCACTAGTAGAGGCCAATACGGAAGTTACTGGAGCTGAGAAAGGGAAGAGGAAGGTGGGGATTATGGATTGGGAAGGTGATGAGGGGCAAATAGGGAAGGAAAATTGGAAGAAAATTAGATTTGAGAATGGAAATAGTGACTGAATGGAACTGTCTGAGGGGTTGGAGCCCACCCTAAATGGGGCTCCAAGGTTTAAATAAAGGCTATGGTGTCGAACTGTTGAGGTGTGGAGAGCCCCTTCACAATTCCCCAACTGAGGGAGGTCTTTAGACTCCACTCTCCTTTACTAGTGTTTTTATCAGAAACTAAGAAGAAAAAAAGCTATTTGAATAAAGTGAAACAATGGATTAAATTTGATAATGTGTTTGTTGTAGATCCAGTTGGTATGCCCGGGGGTTTGGCTGTATTATGGAAAAGGAGTTGCAGGTGAAAAAGGTTTTGTTTACAAGTTTTACTATTGAATTACTGATAGAGGACAATGAAGCTAAGATTGATTGGTGGTGTATATGTGCTTATGCTAGTTCAGATGCAGGTATGAGAAGAGTGCAGTGGAAAGTTCTAACCAGAAGAAGTATAATGTGGGGTAAATACTGGGCCATAATGGGAGATCTTAATGACATTACCTCCAATGGTGAAAAATGGGAAGGTAAACAGAGAGCTGAGGTGAGGTTTCAGGATTTTAACTCCTTCATAAACAACAATGAATTGGTTGATATTGGATTTGAAGGAATTCCTTGGACCAGGAGCAATAATTGGGGAAATGAGAGTGAGGTGAAAGAGAGGTTAGACAGGATATTAGGGACTAAAGGTTGGATAGAAAAGATTGATAAGGCAAAATGTATACATGTTGAAACTGAGGCATCTGACCATTGTATATTGATTTAGGATACAAAACCAATGGTGAAGAGGTGGAAAAAGAGGTGTATGTTTGATAGAAGGTGGTTACAACAAGAAGATATAGGAGAGGTAATTGGGAAAGCTTGGAGAGAAAATCAACAGGGGTCTAGGCTATACAAAGTCCAATGTAAAATCAAAAAAGTCAAAGTGGATTTGCTTAGCTGGAGCAAAGGATGTGTTGGCAACTCTAAGAAACAAATAGAACAGATTAAAAAGAAATTAAAAATGTTAAGGAGAGTAAAAGTAATGGTTACAGGATTAAGCTGGCTGATACTTACAAAAGGGAAGAATTATATTGGAGCCAGAAAACCAGGGTAAAGTAGTTAAAGGAGGGGGACAAGAATATTAGCTATTTTCATGCAAATGTGACTGGTAGGAGGAAAATGAATAGGATTAGTGTGCTGAAGAAAAGGAATGGGGAGTGGTGTGAGAGTGAAGAGGAAACCTGTCAGGAGATTTTGGACTATTTTAAGCAGATTTTTACCTCAGAAAAACCAGATAACTTTGCAGAAATTTTACAAGGGATCCCATAGGCTATCACTGCTGAGATGAACAGGAAGCTGACCAGGAAAGTCACAGATCAAAAAATTAGTCATGCAGTCTTTTCGATGCATCCAAACAAGTCTCCAGGGCTAGATGGTATGTCCCCTTTTTTCTTCCAGAAATTTTGGCATATTGTTAAAACTGATGTTGTTAATGCAGTGCAAAGTTTCTTTCATTCTGGTTATCTTCTTAAATCTATTAATGAGACCTTGATAAGCCTTATTCCTAAAACAGAGTCCCCTAGTACAGTTATAGAGTTTAGAACCATTAGCTTGTGCAATGTTATCTATAAAATCATTTCTAAAGTGCTCACAAACAAATTTAAAAGTGTTTTGAATTGCTGCATTAGTTATTCCCAATCTACCTTTGTTCCTGGAAGACAAATTTTGGATAATCTCCTGATTGCTCATGAATGTGTTCACTTTTTAAAAAATAAAAGGACTGGAAAAGAGGGTTACATGGCTATCAAACTAGATATGTCTAAAGCTTATGACATAGTAGAATAGGTGTTTTTGGCCAAAATAATGTTGAAAATGGGCTTCTGTCCCAGGTGGATTCAATGGATTATGGAATGTGTTACTAGTGTAACCTATTCTGTAAACATTAATGGTGAGAAAACTAGTTTCGTTAGGGCAACTAGAGGTTTGAGACAAGGGGATCCTTTATTCCCATATTTGTTTCTAATATGTGCCGAGGGATTTTCCTCCTTGATAAAGCAAGCAAATGTACAGGGGAAACTGACAGGAATGAAGATACCTCAAAGGGCTCCTAGCTTATCTCATTTATTTTTTGCAGCTGATTCACTAATGTTTTGTAAAACAAGTGGTGAGGAGGCAGTGCAACTAAGGAGAATACTAGATGTGGACAAACGAGCTTTTGGTCAGCTAATCAATGCAGAGAAATCATCACTGTTCTTCAGCAAGAATGTAAAAGATAGGCAAAGGGAAGGGGTGATGAAAGAGTTGCAGGGAATGCAGCAGGTTTTGCAGAGTAAGTATTTGGGGCTGCCTTTGGTCATTGGAAGATCCAAGAGACAAGTTTTTGGCTTTATAAGGCAAAAAACAATTACAAGGTTAAAGGGATGGAAGGAGAAATTATTGGGTCAAACAGGGAAAGAAGTGTTACTCAAGTTTGTTATAATGGCTTTGCCTACTTATGTCATGTCCTGCTATCTTTTACCAAAGGCTTTATGCAAGGAAATTTGCTCAGAAATGGCAAAGTTTTGGTGGGGGCAGAAAAGGAATGGACATAAAATTCACTGGTTGAGTTGGGGAAAGATAACAGAAGTTAAAGCAGAAGGAAGGCTAGGCTTTAGAGAGTTACATGAGTTTAACTTGGCATTGTTGGCAAAGCAGCTTTGGAGAATTTTGACTAGGCCTAACTTACTGATGAGCAAAATAATGAAAGCTAGATACTTTAAGGGAACATCCATTTGGAAATCAAAGAGTTCTGGTGTTAATTCATCTGGTTGGAAAAGTCTGTTGAATGCTAAGGAGCTACTAGAGAAAGGAATAAAGAAGCGAGTGGGAGATGGAAAATCTATAAACATATGGGAGGATAGATGGCTCTCAGAATCTGATGATGGAAGAGTCAAGACCAGGAAGGTGGAAGATATTAAGGTGCAGAGAGTAAGTGAGCTCATTAAGGATGGAAAATGGGATAAAGAGCTGATTAAACAAGTGTTTGATGAGGAGGAAAGGAGGAAAATAATGAGAATTCTGCTCAGTTTGCAACCTACAAAAGACAGAATATATTAGGCATTGTCTAGTACTGGGGTGTACACAGTAAAATCAGGCTACAGATTGGCAAAATATAGGAAAAGGAAGGAGGATCAGTGGAGGACGGGTGCAGAATTTAGCTACAGAAGGATGGGTACAAAACAGAGTTGGAATTTTTTATAGGGATTGGATATGAAGCATAAACTAAAGCATTTCATCTAGAAATGCCTGCAAGGTATTCTCCCAGTGAATGCAGTAATAAAGGAGAGATGCTCAAAAGGAGATCATACGTGCAAATGTTGTGGGAAAAGCTCAGAAACCCTTGAGCATATGTTGTTTTTTTGTAACAATGCCAAGTCTATCTGGAAAGCTGCTCCACTGAGCTAGGAGGGGCTGGAGACTTACAAGAATAAATTTTGGCACTGGTGGGAAGAACAGAAGGATGCTGCAAATAAGGAGAATGGAAGAGAGCGTATTGTCCTGACTATAAATTTGCTATGGCAAATCTGGAAATCAAGAAATGAGAGGCAGTTTAATGACAAAGGAAGGGATCCGTGGTTAACAGCTAATAAAGCGGTAATGGAGTGGAGGGAGTACCAGGATGCTCAGGAAGCAGAGATGGAAATTGGGGGATATAGTAAGAGTAAAGAAGAAGTGTGGAAGGGATGGAAGAGACCAAAGGAAGATTGGGTTAAGATTAATTTTGATGCAGCTCTGCACCAAAAATCTAACAAAGCAGGTTGGGGAATGGTTGCGAGGAAATGGCAAGGAATGGTTGCGAGGAAATGGCAAGGAATGGTGCTGGGGGCTTAGGTAGTTTCAATCTCAAGCTACTCAAATCCTAAGCTAGAGGAAGCAATGGCACTAGGAACTGCTATGTTACTGGCGAAGCAGCAGGGGTGGAGAAGAGTGGAATTTGAAACAGATTGTATTCAGGTGGTGAATGGGATAAGTAGGGAGGAAGATGATGTAATCATTTCAACAGTAGTATCTGATATCAGGAAACTTAAGTCCAACTTTGATAAATGTTGTTTTACTTTCACCAGTAGGGTAAACAACTCTGTCAGTCACAATTTAGCTAAGATGGCTATTAACTTGAAGGTATCCGCTGAATGAAAGGATGACTTTCCAGTCTGGCTGCTTGAGTTAGCTCAAGCAGATTGTAAGGGCAGTTGCCCACCTATGATGTAATCTGGGTTAGACTGTTAATAAAATGTTGCCGTTTTGGAAAAAAAAAAAACAAGTCTTAACCAATGTTTTATTCTTTTTTTTTGAGTTTGGCATAAAATCAAACTCGCGCAATGAAACGATTCGCAATTGAATTAGTTCAATCGATCAATCTAATCTAATTTTGAAAACATTGGTTTTTATGGGTATTAATACATGTTTAAAGTTAGACCAACTAGCTAGTTGAATCGAGAATCAGGTCAATGTCCTACCGGTTTATCTAAGAATAAAAGAAAAAAATACATACTTAATTTTCAATGTTTAACACTTGCGTGGTTTTAATTCTTAAAATTCCAGTAAAAACAAATCTTTGTCCCCAATGTTTAGCACCTGCAGTTTTAGTTCTTAAGTTTTGAGAAGAACAAATCTATTCCAAGAAGTATACTATTTAAAGCAATTTTAAGACGTTTAAAAAAAAATTTCCAATTATTGACAAAATTTAGTCATCCACAATCATGTGTCTAATAAATTGAATTTCAAAATAAAAAAGCAAAATTGCAAATAACTTTGAATAACAAGATTAAGAACTAACAACTTACGGGTCAACTATTCACAAGTACAAAAGAAAACAAGAAATTTATCAAACTACAAAATTGAAACCAATCAGAGCATGTAGGCCATCGATTTAAAACTCAATTCACTTTCTATACCCATTGCTCATGAGCAAAAACCGCTAATATTCAAATTTGCATTTAATTTAACAAATTTTTTAGTTTCATGGATAATTAGTTATCATGTGACTTCATGTGAATTAGTCTTATTATTCAAAATTAGCTATTGTTTTGGTTCTCTTTTACGAAATTTATGGAACTAGATTTGTTTTATTGAAAATTTAAGGTCTAAAATCTTACAAGATGCCCAATATTAGGGATTAGATTTGTTTTTGTCAAAATTTTAGGGGTCAAAAACCCAAGCGCCAAATAAGGGACCAAAATTACATTTCTCCCTTACTTCCTCATGAATCTAATTATAGCCCGTTTAAATCTATTTTCTTCATCTCTCTTTTATTGTTCATGATTTATTTTTTTTCATTTTTAGTCTATATGTGTGTTTATGTTTGAAAGAGAGAGGATCCCTAGAAAAAGAGTGATAATGACTATTTTGTGCTATATTTGGATGATATTTTGCTTTACTTTTAGTCATTTTTGCAATATAATAAGAAGAAAATGGTCAATTTTTGCTAGAATTGGTTGTAAGTGCAATCTAATACTTAATTGAGAATTTGTCCCTTTGACTTGTACAATTTTTTTATTTTTTGTAGGAGTTGGAAATGGTTTTCATTTTAGACAAAAATTAAGCTTGCATTAGTTTGATTGTAAGTTCTAAAGTTTGCAAGGATAACAAGTTCCAAAGGTAGTTCAAGTCACTAAAAAAAGAAAACGAAAAAATTTGTCAAAAAAGAAAGTCGTCTAGAACCCCTCCAAAGAATCCGGCCAATTTTTGGAGGGATTTGAGGCAAAATGTTTTGGAGAAATAGGGGAGGAATCCGGCCAGGAATCTGACCAATTTTTAGCCGGATTGCTTATTCCAATCAAACTTTGCAGTTTTCACTTGTGCAACTTGTTTTCACCTCCATTATTTCACATCTTTTGAGGAATGTTTGACAGCTTATTTGCAGCTGTAAAGATGAGATTCTAGCAATAATTTTTTACCTTATTTCTTCAATAATGATGTGATTTATCATGGAGCCAAAATTGTTGACTATTTGAAGCTATGTTCATATGGAAGATACAAGTTAAAGGTTTGAAGATTTCTCTGTAAATAGAACTTGTATAATTCATTTTAGAGCAAATTATCCGGATGGCTACTAAACTTTTGTGATCGTCGAGTTTTGGTCACTGAACTATTAAAAGTCTGGTTTTGGTCACTGAAATGTCTAAAGTTAAGACTCGAAGCCATTCTATTAGATTTAGTCGTTAAGTATGCCAGATCTGAGTACCCATGCAATTCCCAAAGCATAAAAATGCCGAATTTACTGCCCTCTCAATCTGTTCTTTCCAATTATCCCTGCTTCTCAAATCCAATGGCATCAAAACTTTCCCCTTCTTCTTATAAAACTGCCAGATCAAGAATACCGAGACAAACTAGTGCCTCCAGTGCAACCATCATTGCCGCCCCAACAATTTCATTCTGCTTCAGTTCCTTCTAGTGGATTTGCAGTGTCAGCAGCTACTCCACTTTCCGCACAACCAGCAAGCCAATTGCCTACATCAGCAACTAGTGCTGGCGAAAAGCTGTCTCCATATCCCTTATTTCTGCCCGATCTTATTCCTGGAATGGTAAAAAAAATGCAGATTGGTAGTGAGGTGTCTTAGTGTCCCATGAGCCCTTTGGATATACCTTTTATCCGCAAAAAACATGTATGATTGATACAGCTTTCGCCTTTCCTCCGGAGTCTTGCAATCTAATTTCAACTTGGATAGCTTGACAACCATGTCAATGGGAATATCCTCAGACTTCACCTTATTTTGAGCGAATATTGCAGTAATTCTATACGGGGATTTGATGGGTCGGTTGTCCATAATTAGGCAAAAAGGTTGAGGTTGTCATCAGCTAGAAAGTAAAGCGGGTTTGGGAGTGAAATTTTGTAGGGTATTTGTGTCGCGCCCCATTTTTTATAAGAAAAATAAATGGTTTGAAAAGTGAATTTTTGATTGGAAAGTGAATTGTTGATTTAAAAAGAGAATGGGCCTAAATGGGACTTGTAATGCGACGATTTTGACCCAAAATAAGTTTAAAAAGGGTTTTGAAATAAAAATCGGAGTCGCCACTTGGTATTGGGTTAAGGTGTACCAAGTCACCTAAAAAAAATGAATTTTTTAAAGAAAAATAAAAAAATCCCTTTTTAAACGACTCCAAGTCTACGTAAATCAAAGAAAAAGGTTCGGGAGTCACATTTGAAGAGAGGGAAGGCAAGGACGAGGTTCAAGGCACCCTCTCAACCTAGCCAAGGCTAGTTGCGCGATTTAGTCAAAGATTTTCTTGTTTTAACCAAAAGATTTATCACATTTGAACGTGCTATATGAATGCAACCCTAGATCTAGGAGGGTATCGGGGGGCAAATTTCTCTTCAAAGCTTGAATGGTGCCAGTCACATTAATTGTCACGCCCAATAATGACTCTTTGGAGAGGTCACGAATAATGCAAAAATATGAGACTCTAAGAAAAGAAAAGAAATAAAATAATTATACAAATATACATGTCTTAAAGGAATGCATCATGTCGGGTACGGGGGACTAATGTTCGTGACTCAATTTTCCCTTTAATAGAGGGAATACGAGCGAGCTAAGGCTAGAAAAGCCAAACTCGTCCATATCCCATATTCGAGGGGTTTCCCTAATCTAATCAAGCAAATGCACTACCCTAATCCTAAATCTAAAATGAAATGCAAGTCTAATGCTATGTATCATACAAAGGGGGCAAGTAATATACATATAAGGGAAAATATTGGGGGAAGGGTATACATATATAAGGAAAGTGTCATGCAATATGATGGAAGAGGCCCTAAAAATGAAAGTATGCATGAGATGAAGTGATTTTATCATGCAATCATGATCTAACGTGTGAAGGGCTCCTAAGGGTCTAGCATTGGACTAGCCCACATCTATGCTCTCTCACAAGCATTGGACTTGCAAGAGCTCGAGGGGACAACCATGACTAGCATTGGACTAGCCACGGTTACGTGCATTTGCATCCATCATACACATATATAAGTAATGTGCACAATTAAAGCAAGTAGACATGTGAGCACGTAATTCACATAACACATAAGCATGCATATCTAGATGCCAAAACCTAAGAAAGCGGTAACACATAGCATGTAAGCATGCAAATCACATGAAGCAAATAAAGCTAATAAAGCCCTAACTATTACATTCGGGGAAGGCCCTACTACAATCTAATAGGGGAAATAAAAAGGAATGAAACAATTAAATTCCTAACTATTACAACTGGGCATTTAAATGCCTTTCAAATAATCAAAATGAACTAAAATAAATATACGAAAATAAGACGAATAAAGCGAATAAATAAATAAATAAAATGAAAACATTCAAAAGGCATGCAATAAAACACGTAAATCACATAGGGGCACATAGGATCACGTAAAATCAAAATAAAGGAGTTAGAATGTACCTCCCTTGAAGTTGGGGCCCTAATGAAGTGAAATCACTTGTTTACCCTCCAAAATAATAAAAGGGTCAAGGCATCATTTTAATTAACAAAATAATCACACGTAATGGAAATAAACATGAAATTGAATCATTCAAATAAACTAAACAACTCATATTCATCAAGTTGAAACCAACAAGGACCCAGTTGAAACAATCAAAGAAGTTAAAGGGGCCAATTTGATTGATTTTTCCAATTACTCGGGCCAAATTAGCATTATGGAAGACTTGGGAGGTTAAAGTGTAATTGTTTTGGAACATTTCCATGCAACTTCATGCAAACTACGAAGCTTATGCTTCTGCAACAACTTTCCTTATGTTATGAAGCTTCAGCAATCGAACTCGCGCGACAGGTTCTACAAGTCTCTCAGGTCGAAACTCAACCTCAAGCTTTTATCAACTTATCATTCCAAATAG